CTATGGGTCAGAACTCCCAGAATATTGCTGTTGGCCTGCTTCCCAGTCCTTTCTCATTGTCACTGTCCCACCAGGTGCTAGGGAATGTTCATGTAAGATCCAATGGCAGGGAGACTGAAGGGCTATGACTTCCCCAGCAGGATAGAGACACCTGCCATATGTGCAGGTAATAAGCCATCTGCTGGTTGAGCTTGGGTCTGTGGTGAGAGGAAGTGACCCTATGTGGGCCCATAGTCCAGTGCTATGCATATTATGCTACTTATATAGTTCATAGACATTCATTATTTGATAAGTACATCACAACAGAATGTAAGTCACAAAAATACCCACTTCCAATTTATCACATCTATAGAACTGTTAGATGTTAGTATTAACACCTCTATAAGACTATAATGGGTTCAGAAGAAGCTATCATCTTTATAAATGTATTCACTCTCCTGCGAACATAACAAGAAATATGAATTCATCTTTATTAAATAATATAATTCTTATTTTAATCTTATATCCTCAGAATCAAAGCATTCTATAATAGACATACTCTTATTTGACAATGTGAATGCTACTTTCTTTACATCATTATTATTGCTTAATATTTTGATGCAGCAATCATTTGATTTCTTTTCTGAATGTATTTATCTTCATTCATTCTTTACAAGGTTTTTGTTTCTAGTCCTTATCTTAAACATTGTTATTGTTATTAAATTTTAAGCCTTTTTAATTTTGTGAAGGCAAAAAGTGGAAACCTAATAAACACATGTATATGTAAAAAAAATCAAAACTGGGAAAGTGGGAATCTTGCACATATTAAAATAAGAATATAATAGGGAAAGACACATACAAATAATGTCAGAAGGAATGTAAATTGGCACAATTGGATAATAAAAATGAGCAAATCTTTTACCTAGCAATATCACTCAAAATTACTCAAAATTATCCTACATATATACTTAAACAAATACAAAGAGATATACCCACAAAAAACACTCTGCAGCATTGTTTATACTACAAACAAAACTTCAAACAATCCAAATGTCCATCACTAGGGTTGTGCTTAATTAATTATAATATAATCATTCATTATTCAATTATTTAAAAGAAAGAAATAGTACTGCTTGTGTTGATATAAGACTACGTCTAAAACTTAAAAGAACACAACATTACAGTATATTCCCATTGGTTTCTTGAGAAGAATATGTGTGTATATGTAAATAAATGTATTAACATATGCATACAGATGGATATATGTACATAAAAAATTTTTTAGAAAGAAACATCAGAGACTATTGATGATTGTTCCTTCTGCAGAGTTATTTCTTCAGGAAACCTAGATTACATTATTTACTCTCCTTCACAATCTGAATATTTTTTTCATGTGCATGCGTTTTCTTTTTTTTTTCTACTTAATCAAGAACTCTTTTTTTTTTTTTAATTAAATCATAGCTGTGTACATTAATGCAATCATGGGGTACAATGTGCTGGTTTTCATACAATCTGAAATGCTTTCATCAAACTGGTCAACATAGCCTTCACCGCATTTTCTTAGTTATTTGTGTTAAGACATTTATACTCTACACCTAGTAAATTTCACATGTACCCTTGTAAGATGCGCTGTAGGTGTGGTCCCACCAATTACTCTCCCTCCACCCATCCTCCCCTCTCTCCATTCCCCTTCTTCTTGGGCTATAATTGGGTTATAGCTTTCATAAGAAAGCTATAAATTGGTTTCATAGTAAGATTGAGTACATTGGATACTTTTTCTTCCATTCTTGAGATACTTTGCTAAGAAGAATATGTTCCATCTCCATCCATGTAAACATGTAAGA